AAAAAATTCCTGGAAGCTGGGGGTGGTTGCAAAGGCCTGCAATCCTGCTCTGAGAGGCTGAGAGAGGAGGATCTCATGTTTAAGGTCACCTTGAACAACTTAGCAAGAGCCTGTCTAAAAAAGGAGCGTTTGTGGGGTGGAGATGGGGGTGAGGATACAGCTCAGTGCAAAGGCAGAGGATGAACACTCAGTGTGGGTGTTGGAGGTGGGTGGGAGAGGAGGAGAACCAGGGGTCAGTACCAGACCCTGGCATCAGAAGACAGAACAGTCTCAGGAGGAACATGGTAGCAGACACTACAAATGGCAGAAAGAGCTGGTAAGGATGTAGAAGTGCTATCGGATTGAACTCATGATGCTGCCATCTTTAGCAGCTCTGGGAGGTGATTTCAGTTGTGTGGTAGAAATAAATCCCTAACTGTGAAGGGCTCTGGAGTCAGGGAGGCGAGGAAGCAGAGATGGACCACAGGAACCCTTCCTGGCACCGGGGTGAGAGTGCGTAGCTAAGGGAGTTGAGTGCTTACTTGTTTGTTCAGGGCAGCAGGGGTCTGGACATCAATCGCCTATGCACAGAAGAGAAGCAAAGGTGCATCCGAGGACCTGATTCATAAAGCAAGCCCTTCTTCTGTCTTTGTAAACATTTTGCTTTAAATTTCCATAAACACCAGTGGCCCAGGAAATGCTTGAGCAGATATTCATTAACAAAATGACAGCTGTTTTAAAACGTTCCCAGGGCCATTCACTGTTTGTCACTCCTTGTGTAATGAGCATTTCTGGCCCGGAATCTTGACCTCCCTCCAGCCTAAGAATCCTTCTGTGCCCTGGGGATTTTCACAGCGCAGGGGACATGGCCAGCCTCTTACTCAGACAGGAGGAAACTGCTTTCCCTTCCTACTCCAAGTGAGTCCACTCCTGGTCACTACTTCTTGGGGCCAAGTATAGAAATTACCAGGAAAACTTCAAATTCTAGGTCCTAGATGAGCAATATTTGTGGACTTAGTTACCCCACTCTATAAAAAAATGAATTCAGAGCTCATTTCTAAATCATTACACCTTTCAAATAATCAAATGAACAAAATTCCCATGTACAAGAGAGCATATCTTACTTTTACTTCCAACAGAACATGTTGGAACGCTGTAGGTCTCAAAGATGGGAAGACTTTGTTTTATGTACAGGCATAGAATACAACAGTATACAACTGTATGCTGTTTTATTTTCTCCCAAGTGTCCTGAATTGCACAGAAATATTTCCCATATCTACAGCAAAATAAACAAAGAAATTGCATAGAAAAACATCATAATTTCTTGTCCTCCAGCTCAACTTTTTGAATGTGAATGATAGCCTACAGACACCTGGTATTTTTTCTTCATAGTATCTTGTAGCTCCAAATTAGCATTTGCTACAAGCAATTTCACAATTTATTAAATGCTATTGCTTAGTGAAATGTTCGTGTTTTAGCAAAACCCAACAGTTAGTAAGCAGCTCCCGTAATAAGATGCAAAATAAAACATAGTTTCAGCACCATGTTATTTGTTAATGCTCTTCTAATTTAAGGTTTAAAACTTGTATTCATGCAACACTTCACTGCATCACTGTAAAAGGACCTTTGTCTTTGACTACATTATCTCTTAAATTGTCCAACAGCACCAATCTAGTTCATTATGAGGCCAATGCAAAAGGTAGACTTGAGTCAGTCTGAGCATCCTTTCTTCTCTGCGAGATTGTAACTGAAAATTAACCAAATGTGAATTTGTATGACCACAAAGCAGATCTTTCTCTGATTTACAGCTTCCAAAATCTCCACTGAACCACTCTCCAGGCCACAACCTGTAGCACGGAGCTTGGAAGCTCCTTGGAAAATATAAATCTTACTCATTGACTCCTAGTTTAGAAGGGACTGGATTCTGAGGCCTCTGGGGCATTTTTAGGTTATGCTGACAAAGATGTTTGTAAGTGAGTGCTAAGATGCTTTAACTTATTTAAGTGGCTTCTTCCCTTTCTGGTTTAAAAGAAACATCTTTCTAAATTAAAGTCCCCCTCAATGCGTATTTGACTTTTCAGGAATTTTAAGTTCAGGTTTGGTGGTATGAAAGTTCTCATGGTAAAAGACACAATTGTGATATGTCAAATTTCCTGGGTAGGTATGAACGTGAAAATTAAATTTGGGTAAAAATGAAAGACTCAGCCAAGTGAACAAAGTTTGATGGTACTGACAGAAAATAGTGCTTTTCAATTTAAAACTGTTGTGCTTCAATTGAAATAGCACTTTATTTTAAAAGAAGTTGGATGATTTAACTGAAAGGAAGGAGCAAAATCATGCAAAAATTCTAAATAATTTATTAGAGAAAGATTCCAAATATACGCAGACCCAAAATTCACTATCGCCCCAAAGGGAGTTCCTAACTCACAGTCTCAAGCTAAAGAGTCTATCCTATATGCCACAGGACGCTTTGACACTCAGGAAAAATTACCACAGTGAACATGTAAAATTTGTTTCTAAACAAAAATAGTGGAAAGATCTGTAACACAACTCTTACAATTCTCAATATTGTTGTACATACAAGCAATTAGCAAAGGAGTCTAATCAAAGTTGGAATTTAGAATTGCCCTGGACTAAGTTTATAGTTTCATGTATCTCTCCCAATAGTTTGAGTTTTTTTCCTTGCACAGAGTGATATTAGTAAAAGTAATTACTATAATTATCAAGGTCAAGGAGAAATTAGTGATTTCTTTTTACTCTGAAAAGCACAGCATACACACATAGGAAGGTAAAACACATCTGGTTGTATATCATGGTATTAAATTCAACACCTGCAGCTTATGAAGTTGCTCTAGAGTATTTTTCAGCTTAAAATAACATGCAAGTAAATTACAGTTCAGTTGAAGAAATCCAAATGTCATTGAGAAAATAAGTCTTGCCTCATTCATGTTTCCTTAAACTATGATCTCCACATATTAGAAGTGCACAACCTGGAGGATTATTTTTCCCCTTTGTCTCCATCACACAAAGTATCTCCCTGTCACTTCCCAGCTCTGCACGTACACGAGTAGGCTGCACATGAATGGGGCTGAAGGGAGACGCTCTGCCCTTGATCAGCATTAGGTGTGCCCTGAGCATGGGTGAGTCACTGACTCCCTGCTACACACCTCCAGGGACTTTATAGCAAAGAGAACAAGCAGCACTTTCTGTGATGGACGGAGTAACACATTACACAATCCAGAGTCACTTCCATGGCAACCTCTACTACACAGCACAACTAAGAACCTGGGCACGGGCCCAGCGACTCCACAGCACCCAAAATAGATATCACTGCATCTCAGTCTTTTCCTCAAAGAGGTTCTCTTGGGATCGCGTATAAAGTCTCCTATTCCATCCAGAATTCTTTTTATATGATTATTATTTGTTGTTCTGGGGATTGAACCCAAGATTTTTTGCACTAAGCTATAACCCTATCCCTTTTTAAAATTTTTATATTTTAAGACAAAATCTCTCTGAGTTGCTAAACTGCTCAGACTGGGTTTGAATTTGTGATCCTCCTGCCTCAGCCTTGCTCAGCACTGGGATTACTGGAATGTGTGAATACATGCAGCTCCATCCATATTATATTCTTCATTTGTTTTTTTTTTTTTTTTTGGTTTTCATGGTCATTACACCCAATGATAGTTCCAAAAAAGTGGCTGAGCAAGAGAGGAGTTACTGAAAGTATGCAAACTGTCTATACTGGGAAGTAAAGAATCCATTCTTCTTGGATATGGAAAGTGGACATAAAGGAAAAAATGTCCCCTAAACATAATCACAGAATTCTGTGATTTCATGATCACAGAGTAGTGATCTGTTAGGGATTTTTTGCATGATTTATTGATTCTGTGGCCATCTGCTGTAAGAAGTGACAGCTTTGCGTACCACAGGATGGACCAGAGACACTGCTGCATCACAAGGCAGAGCCGTGATAACAGCTGGGTAATTCCCAAATCACGAAATTGTATTTAATCTCTTTCAGAGCGAGCAATGCATAGAGTGGATCTCAAAAAGATAATCATCAAAACAAGACTAAACTCTTTAAAAAAAAACAAAACTTTTTTTGGAGTTTTCACTGAGAAACCTGTAAACTTCACTTCTCAGAAGCCCTTAATTAGTTCTGTGGCTGCTTTGTGGACCAGCAGCAGCTACTACAGATTAGCTAGCGTGGTCCTTGGAGAAAGAGTGACACCTTGAATCATAGGGGTCCTCAGGATTCTTCCTGTCCATCTCATGGTCACTCTGGACCACCTACCTGCTTCCATGCTGGAAGCCCCTCCTCATTCCTCAGCTCAAGGGCTTCACCTCAGCTTGGAAGTGTAGCCCAGGGGACATTTAAGGTGGATGAGTTTAAACCAAAATAAACTTTACTTTAAAAGAAAGAGCAGGCTGATGGAATGTTTTAAAAAATAAGTGAAAGTGAAGAGAAGGAAGGGTTAAGATGGCGATTGAAATAAACGAATTGGAAGTAAAAGCACAATTCAAGAAAGTACGTTATCCAGGTCAGACCTACCAAGTCCTGAAGAAGTTACTGAGCTTGGACCGAATCAACGGAAGTGCAGACGCCGGTCTTCTCAGGTCCTCTCACCCACCCAGCCTGTACTGACTCTGTTTTTCAACATGAAGATGTATCCCCACAACCTAGTTAAGCATTTCTTTACAGCTCTAATATCAAAGTGTAGCCCTGCTAGCCAGTACAAACAAGAAAACACACACACACATACGCACACGACACAATGATAAAAATCAAAGCTAAACTAAGCTTCAAAATCAAATAACAACCCCTTGCTTCCTGAAAACAAAATGAAACAATTCTAATAGGTTCAATTGTCAACAGTTACAAAACAATACAGCCAAATAGGGTAGATATTTTAAAGAATGTTTTCCTCCTGACTCGAGGTGAGGTGGGGTTCAAATGACTAGGGACAATTGGTCCCCAAAACAAATGGACCCTGCAGATTTCAGTGAGTGAAAAACAGTACCTTATAAGTAACTGCTCTCGTCTACTCACAGCTGTTTCCAGTGCCGACTCTTGTTTAACTGTCTACCGCCTTCAATTGAAAGTTGGCAAAAAAGTACAGAGCCTGTCTGGAAAAAACTGTTTGGATATAAACCATTCCTTTCAAAGCAGTGGTAGCTATATTTAAGTTTTCTTGTAGATGGGAATATAAACTCTTCCTGTAGCTAATTTTCTTCCTTCTTCTTCCCTTCAGACTTAGTCAGTATCCTCCTCTCACATATATTGAAGAAAGAAACAGAAGTGGAAAAAAAAAGTCCTACGATGAAATATACCTTAAATAATGTAGTACTTGAGCATTTAGAAAAAAAAATCCAGACACATACAAAGAAGAACTAAAAACCATAGAAATTTCGTTAGGACCTTAAACATGATCTAGTCCAATACCCTCCTTGTAGATAAAGAAACTGAAGCCCAGAGAAAATATGATCTGCACAGGGTCATTCACATAGCTCAAGAGTGCCACAGTTACAAGGTCACACTTTCCAGAACTCGCAAGCCAGTGTTCTTTCACCGCACTGGGAGACCCGAGAGGAAATGCTTTATCTCTCCTCTGTATACATGGATAGCTCTTAAATGCCTTGGTGGAGGACTTGGTAACACAATTAGCATGTGAGAACTCGCTCTCCCTCTGGTTTAAAAGCCTTAACATTACAAGTTTCCCTGTCATGGCTACTCTTTGGCATGCTTAGGAAAAAATCTTTTCCTTTGTTGGGTGCTCAGAATATTTTTTATTCATGATTAGGGAATTATCATTTTCCAGGGATGTGGCCATCCGTAAGTCTCTACAGAGGAATATTTCAGTATGCATGGTGATGGGGCAGGGGTTAGATTAAGTCTTTGATAGTTCTACCCCACGCCAGCAAACTGTCACATGGCTCTTGAACTAGATCTCACCACAAATTCCAACTTTCAACTTGTAAGACATGTTTTTGATCATACATAAAAATTTATTATTATGGTTTATCTTATCTTTTTATTAATACATGTTGGCAGTACATGCAGTCTACAGTCATATTGGGGAGTGGGTGCATGTATATAATACAACTTGGTTCTTCTTTTTTCTTTTTTATTCTTTTTTTTTTCTTTCCCTAGGAATTGAACTCACAACCTTGTGCTTGCCAGGCAGGCGCTGTGCCGCTGAGCTAAATCTCCAGCCGGGTTCTTCTTTTCTCAATGCCCTTCTCCCCTGCCACGTCTTTCCCTCCTCCTCTAAATCCCCTTTTCCCATTTTTTGTTGATGTTGTGAAACTTATCTCATGTTTATGACATAATATTTATATCCACTGAGATTATTAGGTTCCTGTATGGTACATGCCATATTTATTCTATTTATTTTTCCTTTCCTTCCCCTTCTCCCCTCATCCAAGTTCTCCTGGACTCTTTATTGTTATTATTATTATTATTTGTGCTGCCAGAGATCAAATTCAGGGCCTTAAGCATGCTAGGCAAGCCCTCTACCACTGAGCTATATCCTCAGACCCTGTTTTTATTATTATCAATTAAATATTTTATTACATAAAACAGAGAAGCAGCATCATTTTTCTTTGGTGTCTTTTATATAGCACTCTTATATGCAGAGAAATTATTTTCTTCTAACTGAAAGAATGATGTCCTTCTAATTTTTTTCTCTTTCTGAAATGTATTTATCAATTAATTAACAGATGTTTCTAGAACATTCATAAAACCTATCTCATCCTTCCCATGTAGGATAGAATAAATGACAAGTCATATCTTCTTTAGAAAAGTGTATAATCTTCAAAGAAAATTGAAGAATTTTGATTTGGAGTACGATCAGTTTTTCTATGAGTGTTTTTGTATTCGTTCTTATGTTTCACACATGGGCCCTAAAGTGTCTGCCATACCATTGTCTGAGCTGCCCCATCTCATACCACTGCCCAGGTCAGAGACATCAAATATAAAGTGGCCCAGATTGAAACCACTCTGGTCATAGTCACCTTTCATTTGTTCTGGCTCCTTAAATGTTAAAGCACAATGCACTTTACAGCCTGAAATGCACAGACATAGCAGAGAATGCTCAGACACCTCAAGACCGTCTTCAGCTGTTGGTCCCTCTTTACCACACCCTGGTTTTGGTACTTCTCATCTACCCACAGATCTCTGGCCGAAAATAATGCATTTATGACCAAAGAATTATAACAGCATAAAACTTCAGAGAACAATTAAATTGCTTGGCATGTATTTTTCAACATGATGAGGAATAAATGAGAATGGTATGAATTATCCAATCCTGAAAAATAAGGCTCTGGGATCCAGAACATAAATGGTGACAAAGAAATCTTGGTAAACTGTACTTTGTGCTCTTAGAAACAGTGGTATGGTGATCTTCTGCTTTCACTGCAGTTAATTATGTCTCACCAAGCTTTATGCAATGGTAAATGGCACTGATTACACAGTGATATAAATATAGTGAGTCTGGCACGCATATCCCTTGTCCTCACTAATGCTCTACATCTTTTTATTTTGTAAGCTTTACTCTGGATGGTGACTACTTCTTACTCTGGATGGTGACCATTCATTCTTTGGTCTGTTAGAAGGAACAGGAAAGCAACAGGAGTAAAATACTGAGAGACAACAAGAAACCAGCACAGGGAGTCAAGGTGATGCAGAGAGGGAAGGAGGACAGGTGTGAGGAGAAGTCACACTCACAGAAGGCACTTAGAGCAGGAGTGGGCTGACCTCAGACACTACATAGATTATATATGCGGCATTCAAGAACCAAAGTCTCTCAAAATAGGGCAAGCAAGGGGTGAACTAGCAATTTTGGTGACCATTGCAAGCAACAGGAAACTGGCCATCAGACTTTCTTTGTAATTCGTGGTATGGTTTATCCCTAACCATTGGGAGAGGGACCTGTGCTGTCAATACGTGAATTCAGCACAATCCAAAATAGCACAACATTTCACAATCATTTGAAAAAATTTTTGTGCCTCTATATTTAGGTCCCCTGGTCATGCTCCAGGTTGCCCTACTCTGGGAGTGCTCTGTATTTCAGAATCCTGGGGTCATTTGGAGGGATGCGTGGCATGATGCCATTTCAGGGATGGGTGAGGTACCCTCAGCCGAGGTGAACGTCAGGGCAAGCTATATTAATCGAGGCAAACGTCTGGGATTGTCTCGCTCCTGATCCACCCCTCTCATCTTTCAGGGTTACAGTAACACTAGAAGAAGGCATGTACTAAGAAGGTTGTGGGAGCTCTCTGGCGACAGCAATGCAAGGTAGCGACTGTACAAACAGCCCTTGGGTTGCAATATAATCTTCTATGCTTGGGAGAAGATGCCTCGCACGAGTGCATCCAGCAGTTCTGAAACAATACATGTAACGGTTCCCACCGCAAGCATCACCTCCCTTAAACCGATCCAGGCGCAGACTTGCTTTGCTGTCCCTCTGGCCACAGCCCGTTCTTGCAACGCCCTGATTTATCCTCCCCTCCCATCCACCAGCGACTTTCATCTTTCCCATCTCTCATGCCTCACACCAGCCACCGGTTTCCTATTATCCCTTCATTCATTCCGGGAGTGTCCTGTTGCTCTCAGTGGAAATCTACACACAATCCATGGTCTCCAAGGTCCTGCATGACTTAGATCTATTTAATTTTTCCAAACCTGATGCTTCAGTGGTTTCACAACCATTCCTCCACCATGATTTCACACCCATTCCTCCACCATGATTTCACACAAATATCTCCTTTTCACATGCCGAGAGCTACCTCCTCAGAAAAAAGATTTCCTGACCATGCCGGGCAACTATCCTCCTGCCCAGACACACCTTCTATCCCATCCCCTATCTTAGATTTTTCTTCACTGCATGACAGCTCTCTGTAATTATTTTCTGTGCTTACTCATTTGAGTAGTTGGTTGAAATATGTTCACTCTCTGTCTCTCTCTTCTGAAATACATTCAGAAATATACACCTAAAGATGCATGATCAGAAACATACAATTTAGATTTTTACAATCACATTAGTCTCCTTTTCAGAACAGGAGGTAGCATAAAACAAGCTTTTGATAAATATTTCATTTACAAAGTGATCATATTTTTTGTACAATCAACAAATGCTTATTATAGCTTTTTGAACATGGAAGCAAAAATTTACCTATTTCTACAATTGACACTGCACACTTTTCTGGGGGCTTAGCAGCTAGTACCCACAGGAAAGGAAGAAAGAGCCCCTGCTGGGCTTGGGGTAGTCCTATCTACAAGAGACTGTTAAGTCTAGAATTTTATTAACATCAAGGCCAGATAATCGATCCACCGCAGATATACCTTGTGCACCTAAGCAGACATGCTTACATTTGCTAGAAGCTCTTAGGAGCTTTCGACTTCTCCTTCATTTCCTGCGGTCCACAGTACATTCTCTCACTGAAACAGCAGATGTCCTAGAGCTAATTCTATCCTGTTCGGGTGCTTTCAAGATGCTGCCTTCACCTGCCAACTCTTCAGGAGCAAAAGCTAAATCCTTGCACTTGCAACACATGTTTTCTAAGTGGAAAGCGGGAGACCAGATGATTTTGGAGAGATGCACTTGCAGATCATTTAATCTCCCTTCTCCGCTTTGCTCCACACGGACACAGAGCTCTCCAGTGAGCTGTAAATTAGATTTCCTCTCCTGTCCCCTGTCCACTGCTTCCTAATTACCTGTTGCAGTGAGTCAGCTCTCTGGGTCCTGGGGTGCAGGCACGCTGTGAGATAATCGGGTCGGTTCAAAGCACTCCGCGTACAGTCAGATCAGAAAGTTGGTCGGGTGATGGCAAGACAGGGAGAGGGTGAGCTTTGTTAGGAAGAAAATGATTTTCCCCAGCAGCACAGAGGCCTTTCCTCCAGGGATCCCAGGGAGAAGATTCCTTCTCCCCGTGAGTCTTGCCTAGCGCCACTAAGAGGAAAATAACTGCTTGAAGTCATTAAAATAAGAAAGAACACTTTTCTTGTGTTATTGAGCATCCATCAATCTACACAAATGCCATTCATTTAGTTCAAAACTACACATATTTAGTGATTGTCTCTTACAGACAAAGCTTGTGCTAGATTATGAACTTTATATAGTTTTTCCTTATTGTCTCATCATTGATAATATTTCTTTATCCAGAATAAAAGTTCTTTCCCTGCATTTAATAAAGTTTATGTACCCCATCTAATGTACTCAACAGGTACAAAAAAAAAAAAAAAAAAAAAAAAAAAAAAAAAAAAGAAAAAAAAAAAAAAAAAAAAAGAAAGAAAGGAAAAGAAAGGACAAAGAAAAGGGGAAAAAAAGCAAAGAAATTGTACCTCAAAATCTGACCTTCTGGAGATTGGAAAAGTTTAGAGATTACTGGGGAGGTAATCATGCAATCATGGGGCTCCAGGGAAGTGTCAAAGCGGCATGGAATTAAGATTTCAAGTAACCAAAGAAGGAGATGAAATCAAAACGTAAAGTGAATTCAGAGGGAAGA